AACCCAGTGGGAAAAAAAAACTAAAAAGAACGCAGGATAAAGACACGCTTCATGCAGTTGTATTATTAGTGTATTTCTATATTGTGTGGCCGGATCCAACTTTCAGGGAATTCATCCTGAGCTTGGCCCTTAGTTCTCTGAACTGGTGCTTGTCTAAAGCTTTAGTAAAAATGTCAGCTATCTTCTCTTTCGTATTGCAGTAGGTGACGTTGAATTCATGCTGCTCTACTTTTTCTTGCACGAAACAGTATCGTACGTGTATATGTTTTGATCGTCCGTGAAGTTCGAGGTTGTAGCAGATTTTGATGCAGCTCTGATTATCCTCGTATGTAGCGTTAGCCTGCGTTGTAGCAAAGCCAAGTTCTTTGAGGAGAAGTTTGAGGAATATCATCTCTTGCATCCAGTGACACAGGGCGATATACTATGCCTCTGTTGTAGAGAGAACTACAGTATGATGCTTTCGCGAAAGCCATGAGATAGGACTGCTTGTTAGCATTGTCACGTATCCTCCAACGGAGCGTCTCGTGTCGGGGCAGTTGGCGTAGTCAGAGTCATCAGCTGATCGGCTAGATTTTCCTAGGTAATATCGGTCGAGCCTCCCAGAAGAAGACCGTATTCTTTCGTTCCGGATAGATACTTAAGACCACGGACGACTGCTTTCCAGTGATCCATACCTGGATTAGCAAGGAATTGGCTGTCCTCTCGCATGTAGAATGCCATGTCGGGTCGAGTGCCTACCATTAAGTAAATGAACTTGCCTACGGCTTGGCGATACGGAATCGATTTCATCGTATCTTTCTCTTGCTCACTGCTAGGCTGGCTGCTTACGGAGAATTTAGCGTTCCGTTCTGCTGGTGTTGCAATAGAGTACGGAATGTAGTCGCTGAAGCGGTCAATGACCTTCGTAGCGTACTTGTGCTGATGGATAAACATCGTTCGGTTCTTACGGTCACGTTGAATAGATCAGCCGAGTCAGTATTCACCTTCCCCAAATCGGACATGGAGAGACGCTTTTTCAGGGCTGATTTCAGGTCAGTGATGAGTGCTGGTGTAGGCAAAACGATCAGTAAGTCGTCGACGTACACTGCAATGTAACAGGTGATGTCGGCAACTGTGCGTCGAAATACGCATCGATCTTTAATGAGTTTCAGGAATCCGAGATTCTCTAGGTAGACAGACAAGGATTGGTACCAGACACGGGGCGCTTGCTTAAGCCCGTATCAGCTTTTAAGAAGTTGACACACTAGGAGCTCCTTGCCCGGGATTTCAAAGCCTTCCGGTTGAGCCATGTAGATCTCTTCTCCAAAGTAACCCTTCAGGAATGCTGTCTTAACATCCATTAATGGTAAACTTCAAAGTCAAGAAGAGCTGCAATGGTGAGGAGTAGTCTGAGTACCTCCATCCTGATTACAGGAGTGAAAATCTCGCTGTAGTCGATGCCATATTCCTGAAGGAATCCTTTGATCACAAGACGCGCTTTGAAGCGGTCAATTTCGCCAGTGCTGGTATACTTCACTACAAAGACCCATCGGCTATTTAAATTCTTCCTTCCTTTAGGAGGGATACCAACACCCAAGTGTTATTGTCCATGAGAGATTTGTATTCCGATTTAGCTGCTTTATGCCGCTGGTTAGAGTTGGAGGACATCATTGCTTTCCAATACGTAGTGGGCTCTGACACATACCAAATAGCTAGTAAGGTGTACAGTAATTGCTGACGTTGCTCCTGTTCATGAATATCTTCCTCAGAGTTGAGGGTTACGTCATTGACTTCCGCAGAGCTATCCATGGCTTCCGCAGAGAGGCGGGGTCGCTTAGGAATTGAATGATGCAGAGGGTCAGAGTCCATCTCCGTTCTAAAAGAAAAATGTATGGCTGTTCGGTCAATAGCCTCCCTCAGTGAGGGCAGTACACGTTCGTTCACTGTGCCTGGTGCTGTTGTCATTGCAGGGCCTTATGTGGGAGACGGTGTTGTCACTGGTTCTGACGCATGTTCAGCGGTAGAAGTTG